ATTTTTAAAGATTTAAGTGGTGATAACATAAAACAAAAATTTAGACCAATGATACATCATAAATTATATTATTAAATGAGTTAATATATATAATATCATATATTTTAATAAAATAAAAAAATTAATTATTAAAAAATATAAATTTTATATTTTAATAGTTTAAAAAATACGTATGTCATATTATTAGTTTTACATTTTTGTTTTTGATACATTAGAGGAATGTAAATTAAACTAAAACAATAAGAGACTAAAAACAGAGGAAAGAAACCCCCAACTGGTCCCCTATAAGGATTGGCCACAAGCCAGTCAGTGGAGAATCCGATAAATTTATACCTGGTGGTGAAGAATGCCCAAGGGACGCTAGGAAGTCAGCAGCATTATTCCCTTCCCGAAGAACATGTTGTAGTATGCATTCCTCAAATTCAGACATCAGACTTCTAATATCCATCAAAATGACTGCAAACAAATTATCTGGCCCTCTTTTCTCAATTATGAATCTGACTGCCACAAGTGAATCCATCTCAGCCACAACACGAGCAATTCCAAGTGATTTGCATAACTTGAGTCCTTCTCTAAGACCCTATAACTCTGCTATAAAAATGGATGCATCGCCAACATTAACCACAAAACCAGAGATCCAATTCCTAAAGAAATTTCTAATCAGACCCCCTGCACTTGCAAAATTGCTAGCAACATTGAAAGAGCCATCTGAGTTAAGCTTGTACCAACCGTCCATCGACGGCATCCAACTTACCCATCGGGACAATCGTGTTTTAATTGAAGGAGAAGGGCTCATTGATATCTCAGTGTATTTTGCATGCTGCCAAATCGTAGCATAGAGCTCTTGTAGTCAGGACCTATGGTTCTAAAAAACCAATGCATTGCGATCCTTCTAAATAAGTCAAATAGTTGATAAGAACAATATCACCCTGGAGACTTTAGCCTACCTGAAAGCTCTTGATATAGTTGAGAATTTTTTGAGCCAAGAAAAGGAATCAAGAGTAAAAAATTCAGACGTTGCAAAACCAAGCAAACTCCAAACAATTTTAGCATAAAAACATTCTCGCAGCAAATGATAAATGGGATGAAAATTTTGGAATAAAAATTTAAGATCAATGATGTGACATAAATTATATCATTTAAAATATTAAAAGATAAATTTATGTTATTTAATTATTGATTCTTTTTACTTTATTAGGACATGTAATATTATATACATTCATTCATTTAATAACATAATTTATGTTATATCATTGGTCTCAAATTTTTATCATATAAATCACTACTCTATATGGTGATAGGATTTTTTTAATCTACACTTACAAGTTAAAAATATAATTAATATATTATTTTGCATTAATCTATTTTAAAAATGACAAAAACTTATATTAATGACAAAAACTTATATTAATTGTATCACCATTGCCATATGAACCATTTGCGTTAGTCAATTAATTAAACAAAAATAAACTTTATTTATTCAATAATAATTAATGTTAAATAAATGCCGAAAGACACAAGTTATAAAAATCTATAGGGATATCTGCAAAACATTTGGGATTTTAGGTTTATATATATAGTTTTGAATTCACAAAGAAATAATTAAAGCAACAAAAAAGCTATTACAATGAGCAATCAAATTAAAATAGAATTTTAACTTAAATAATAATAATAATAATAATAATAATAAGTAGGATAAAAATTTTGGGATTAATGACTTGATAAAAGTTATATTATTTACAATATTAAATGATGGATCATATATTATTTAATAATTTACTTTTTTATATTTTTGAAATTCATAATATTATATACATTAACTTATTTAATAATATAATTTACATCATATTATTAGTCTTAAATTTTCATATTTTCTATCACTACTCAAACTTGTAAGAAAAAAAAAATTTAATGCTTTATACACATGTTTCTCTTAGCAGAAAGATACCCACCCATAAATTATAGATGACACATTGGATACAACGAGTAAAGGGCTTGCCATGGAGCACTATAAGCAGACCGCGTTGGTGTCGTCGTTAGCGTAAGGGTTGATTTGCTTCGACACATTGGGTTTCAAAGTCTTATGTGCTCATTTTTCAGTTTAAGGGCTGGTAGCTTATAGTTGGTAAAGTCTAGGGGCTTAAGAAGGGATCTTGCCCTAACGAAAGTGACAATACTTCACACCCCACCCACACCCTCCTTCAGCCCAAAAGACACCATTAACTATAGGTAAAACCCCCATTTGGCCCTCAACTATTGTATGGATCCCTGATTTAGTCCCTCAACTCAAAAAATCTCTGATTTGGTCCCTACTGTTTTCCATTTTAACCTCGATTTGGTCCCTCCGTTAACAATCTGCTTACGTGTCCCGTTAGTTGACAAAAAATGATGACATGTAAAAATATTTTGACATGTAAGATTGATAGCATGGCATATAAAACTTGACACGTAATTTTTAGTAAAAAATAAAATATCTAAAATTAATTGTAAAACTAAAATTACTTTTTTACCATCATCTTTAACCACACATCAATTTCTTTCCATTTTCCTTTCATTACCCCTTCATTTTCATCTTTAGCATTTATCTTCTTCCCCCATATCCTTGTTCGTTGGCCTTAGGGGCTTTGGGTTTGATTGACGCCTACTAGGTTTGATCGATGAACCCAGCAAAAACCCAGTGGCACAATGCTTGTTAGGTTTGATCGATGAACCCAACGATGCCACTGGGTTCGATCAATGAACCCAGTAGGCACTCCTAGGTTCAATCAATGAACTAAGTAGGTGCCGCTAGGTTCATGCCGGGTTCATCGATCGAACCCAATAGGCACTATTGGGTTCAATTGAAGAACCCCTAATGGGTTTGATTGAAGAATGCTTGGTTTGATTGATGTACCCTTGTTGGGTTTGATTGAAGAATGCTATGTTCGATTGAAAAACTGTTGTTGGGTTTGATTGAAGATACCTTGATTTTTCTGGGTTTTTTAGAAGGCTGAGAGGGCAATGAGTACTATTTTATGGAGATTCTGGGTTTATGTTTGTGTTATACTTGGATTTGATGTTAAAAAGTGTTTGGGTTTGCAAAAGGTGAAAGGAAAGGAAGAGGAAGAAGAAGTGGTTGTTGGGTTCGATTTCGAACCCAACGCATTTGCAGGGTTCGTAAGAACCTGGTTGTGCTAGGTTCCTTCTGGGTTCCTTTGAACCCAACTTTCAAACCCAACAAAAGAGAGAAATTGGAAGGGAAAATGTCTAGATCTGGTGTTGGATGAGGGATAGAGAGAGAGAGAGAGAGAGAGAGAGAGAGAGAGAAAGGAAAGGATGAAATTGCAGGTTTCATTGGGGGGCAATTGTTGGTTTCATCTTTAGGGTTTGTAGAAGGCAAGGAACAAGAAAGAGAAAGAGGAAAGAGGAAAGAAGAGATTTTTTAAAGTTTTTTTTTGCCATGCTGTCTTCCTACTTACGTGTATTTAACATGTTGACATGTCATCGTGCTTCTGCTAGTTAACAAGACATGTAAGCGAATTTTTAATGGAGGGATCAAATTGGGGTTAAAATGGTAAATAGTAGGGATCAAATCAGTGATTTTTTGAGTTGAGGGACTAAATCAAAAGTCCATGCAATAGTTAAGGGACTAAAATGGGGATTTAACCTTAACTCTATATATATATATATTGAACAATTTTGTAAAGAGTCGGATTCGAACTGTTATTGGGAAAATGGGGATGCATTTAAATGTGGCTTGACGCCATTGGATTCGAAGATCCAAGTGCACCTTAATTATATCATTTGGTAGTAATACTATTTGTATTTTTAATTATTTTTAGGTTTAACGTGCTAAAAAAAGAGAACCGAAAAAAAACACTGGGTCCCTATCAATGAGTTTGGATTAGGAAATTTGGAGAAGAAATGAATAGAAAGTAAAGTAGAGATGTATTCTCCCTTTGGTTGGATTACTTCAATAAAGGGAAAGGGAGAATGTGGATGATAGAACCACTTTAGTCCTGAGAGATTGGGAGAGAGTAGACTAAACTAAAAAACACAATCACTAGGAATGTAAAGATGGGAGCGGGACAGAGAGCCCACCAACTAAAAACAAATAAATGAACTCCCGCCAAGTCAAGACGACGAAAGAAAGAAAATAATCAAAAGACAAAGATAAAAGATCCCTGACCCTGTCTCTTTATTTTTTTTAAAAAAAATCCTCCTCCAATGTGTTATCCTTCGAATGATATTAAAATAGCGACCAATTTTTTGAAATTAAAATTTAAAATTAATTATATAATATAAGTCATGTTATTTTAAAATATTAAAAAATAAATTTTATACTATTTATTAATTAATTTTTTCAATTTTTTAATGTTCATAATATTTTATATAAATATATATATATCAATTTATTTAATAATATAATTTATAATACATTATTGACCCTAAATTTTAACTCTATATTTTCATCCTCTCTATCACTCTTCTTATCCTTTTCAACCTGCCACGAATGTTAATTTTAATAATAGTACTTATATGTTGTATTTCATATTCTTATGTAATATTGTGATTATAACAATTAACAAAAATTTATAATTTATAATTTAAAATGAAGGTTAATTATTCAAATCTTTACAATACTTAACAATTAATTCATTAAAGTACTAAAAAAACCATTGTGACAATAACCTCTTATGTCTTGTTATTACAAGAATTGTATTAATACTTAACAATTATTTTTAAAAAAGTATTACACATCTATATAACTATTTTTGATGGGTACATCTGTATAATTATTAAATTTATATAAAACATTAATTGAAATTAATTTTAGAGAAGGTGGAAAATTAAAACTTCAAATATATCAAAATGTTTAATTATAATTATAGAATAAGTAACACATAATGTAAACTATGTAACATTTTTAATTATCCCATTTCTCGTTGAAGACAGGAGAAAATTTTAAAAACTCAAAATGGGTTTTTTCCATCCTCCCTGGCCGTGAATTCAATTGCACCATTTATCTCTTTCTTCTTTTATAGGCCCTCTAGAATTGGGCTTGTCCAAATAAAGAAGCAGGAGGTTTTGGGTTAAACCTTTTAAGCCCAATTTTGCTTTGCAAAATCGAACATGTTTAAGCCCAATTAGTTTTCTATTTTTTCCTCTATTCTGTTTTTTGGGCCAAACTTTTTCTTCCATCTTATTTCTGCTTTTCTTGTTCTCTTCCGTACCAAATCTCGGTAAATTCACTTGTGAATTTTCT